GAGAATCAGACCGACAGAAAAACAGACAGAGGTTGTTTCTAACCCTGTTGGCAAGGTGGTTGGTAACCTCTTATGCGTGTATCCAGCACTAACATCCACTGGACCACCACTGCATAAGGACGTGGCTTCAATGGTCAGCTGGTGGCATGCACACTTTGACCTGTCACACATACAAATACAAAATGTTTAATAACAATTTCCATCATTTAAAAGGAATGTTCCAAGTTCAATCCAATTTACATACTCAATGTCTTGTTGGTAATCTAAAATCAAAAGGTGTTATCAGTCCCTTCATTATTCATTATTAATTAATTACTTCCAAGCCAAAAAAACACCTTATCTGGGAAACCATATTTTGGCTATGACCTCAAGAATTATGATCACAAGAACTGTGATTGTCGGTTAGGAATTGGTAGATGCAGTACATAGACAAACTGGTTTGTCTAAATGGTTAAAAAAAATTGGAAAATGTTACAATCTACATCAAACATTTTAAGGCCACCAACAACAAATAAGCAAAAAGTGTAGCAACACACTCAATTCAACAAGGGCTGACCCTTTTACTGTCTTGCCTTACAGACATCCATTGCAAGTGGCACTTTTGTCTGTTTACAAATTGAATGATGACTCATGAGTCTAAAGCATCTTCTGAAGGAATGGACAACATGCCACAGATAAACAGCTGTAAATAAAGCTCGACCTGTACTAAATCTGTAACATACCTCTAATTTAAAAAAATTTCACACACAAATGCAGACTCAAAAAACTGTACCTGTCCAGACAACCATCTGTGCAGTCACAGCCGATCAAGAAGTCTGAGCTAGTATTAACAGAAACACCTGGAGCTGGAACTCTGTCTTTGGTGTAGCTGATGTTAGGAGCAAGCGTGCTGTCCACTTCATTAACGCAGGGCACCGGCAACACCTCTCTGCCCTCTGAGATGTCCGGCAAGTAGAGGTGAGGCTTGCCGGTTGATGTGGAAGGAGGTCGGGCGCGATTTACAAGAACAAATGGGTCCATACAGAACATTTCCAGGAAAAGGAAGTCACAGCGTGTTTCAAACAAGTACTCCTGCACTTCCTGCATGTCGCACAGGCTCCGCCCACATGGTGAACGATAGAAAATGTGGAAAAACACCTAAAGAGGGCAAATAACAAGGTTCCTTGAACAGCAAATCAGCATTTCAGAATGATTTCTCAAAAATCAGGTGACACTGAAGACTGGAGTAATAGCAGCAGAAAATTAAGATTTGCATCACAGGAATAAATGACATTTTAAAATATAATCAATTTCATATTGTAATACTACTTAACAATATATAATAAAAATACGACCTTAGTGAGTATAAGAGACTTCTTTCAACAACATTAAAAAATCTTAGCGACCCCAAAGTTTTCACCAGTAGTGTACATTGAGAGTGGTTGAACGCCAAATGGAGCAACTTCATCAAACGCCACCCACCTTTCCATCAATGCGCCTTCTAGCAGTCATTCGCCTAAACTTAAAAAGCAGTGGGATAAGAAGTGGATTTTGACCACGGTGCATGTCGACTTGAGACGGTCTCACCCCATCCAGACATGCTGGACAACAGCGATGATGCAAGTATATGGACTTGTACTGGTGTTGCTTTGAAACACAGTCTTCTTCCTCAGAAACATGCTCTTCTTCCTCAGAAACAAGCTCTTCTTCCTCAGAAACAAGCTCTTCTTCCTCATCAGGGGCAGGTCGTTTTGCACTTCTAGAATATAGAGCCCGATATGACGTGGTTGGTGATGAGAAATTCAAACCACTCCGTAATTGAAGAAACAGTTCACCCAAAAATGAAAATTGGCTGAAAATGTATTCACCCTTAAACCATCCAAAAGTAACAGATTCATTGGTGAGCAAGTGATGTAAAGCTAAATTTCTCCAAATCTGTTCCCATGAAGAAACAAAATCTTGGGATTGCCTGAGTGCAAGTACAATTTCAGCAAATTGTAATTTTTGGGTGAACTGTTCCTTTAACCAGGACAAGCCCATTACTCACCTTAAATTTGAGGTACTGTTTGCAGTAGCAGATTTTACTGTGTGCATACTATCCTTTGATACACAGACAGCTGAAAGCATAGTCAACCTCTGGAGGATGACCTTTGGCTGGAAAGCAGCTGACATGATTTTTTGAGGGCTAATAGATAATGTTTTGGTTACTGGATCAGATTGTCGGGTCGCCCGCACAGAAGATACAGCTGCTGAGGTGACAGATGTTGAAGTAACAGTCGCTGAGGCAACTGTTGTCAAGGAGGAGGTTATGTTGTGCTGAGGTGTGGCATTTCCTGCTAAACAACAGAGTTGGGCATGTGATGTCAGATTTTCATATCACAATTATATCTGAAATTTTTTATCACAGAATTGTATTACATTACACAAAAAAAAAAGATAAATAAAAATGTGCTGTCGTCCTAAATGTATTAACTTTTTTAAATAAAAAGAAACTTGAACATTTAAATAAAATAATACACAACAAAAATGTATAATGCAAACAAATGTTTCAAGAGATTAGACTGCAAAAGAGCACAACTACAGTTTTTTTTTGTTAGGCTAATGAGCATGTTCATTATCCCAAAATACAGTTTTACTGAATACTGGCACATGTCTATTTGGGAACATGCATAAAAGAGGCAGTATGTGCATGAAACACAAAGTCTACTTGTTACTGCAGGCTGTTGTGCTTTCTGTTGCTGTGGTTGTTGCGTTTTCTGTTGAGATGGTTGTTGCAGTTTATGCTGTGTTTTCTGTAGAGCTTTTTTCTGCGGTTTATCTTTAGCCAGACGCTGCTTGATATTTACAATGTGTTCCAACTTGTCTGAGCCTTTAAAAATCCACTCTTTCTGCTTGTCTTTCTAGAAAACAACAACAACACATTTATCAGCATCAAAATGGTCGACTTGTGGTATTACAGTGATGCCTTAAAATGTGATACAGCCTACAAAATTCACCAACAAATTTATCTCCAAGATCAAAATCTCCTAAAATCTGCCAGTAGGGTTAAGAGAGTTGACTGTGGGAGAAAACTTATGAAATGAAATTCTGTGACATTCCCATGAAGTACCCTTTGTTGTTCATGTTCCTTGGTATAAAGGCAATAAATAGTTAAATGCAGATGAAAGAAGAATGCCAGGTTCGCAGAGAAATCTAGCATCCCACAGTGGATTCATTTTCACCTTAAAGCAGATCTGGATGAGGCTGCCATCCAACTGGAGCACCGTGCAAGCCTCAAAATTGCCATTCCGCATCGCCATGGTGTCTTGCCCCACGCGAAGCACCACAGCAATGGGGTTGGGATAGACACGAAGATATTCCTTAACCTGCAACTGTAATGTCTCATCCTCAATGTCTTTCCACACCTTTTTCACTGCAAAGAGCTCTTCTTCCTCAGAAACAAGCTCTTCTTCCTCAGAAACAAGCTCTTCTTCCTCATCAGGGGCAGGTCGTTTTGCACTTCTAGAATATAGAGCCCGATATGACGTGGTTGGTGATGAGAAATTCAAACCACTCCGTAATTGAAGAAACAGTTCACCCAAAAATGAAAATTGGCTGAAAATGTATTCACCCTTAAACCATCCAAAAGTAACAGATTCATTGGTGAGCAAGTGATGTAAAGCTAAATTTCTCCAAATCTGTTCCCATGAAGAAACAAAATCTTGGGATTGCCTGAGTGCAAGTACAATTTCAGCAAATTGTAATTTTTGGGTGAACTGTTCCTTTAACCAGGACAAGCCCATTACTCACCTTAAATTTGAGGTACTGTTTGCAGTAGCAGATTTTACTGTGTGCATACTATCCTTTGATACACAGACAGCTGAAAGCATAGTCAACCTCTGGAGGATGACCTTTGGCTGGAAAGCAGCTGACATGATTTTTTGAGGGCTAATAGATAATGTTTTGGTTACTGGATCAGATTGTCGGGTCGCCCGCACAGAAGATACAGCTGCTGAGGTGACAGATGTTGAAGTAACAGTCGCTGAGGCAACTGTTGTCAAGGAGGAGGTTATGTTGTGCTGAGGTGTGGCATTTCCTGCTAAACAACAGAGTTGGGCATGTGATGTCAGATTTTCATATCACAATTATATCTGAAATTTTTTATCACAGAATTGTATTACATTACACAAAAAAAAAAGATAAATAAAAATGTGCTGTCGTCCTAAATGTATTAACTTTTTTAAATAAAAAGAAACTTGAACATTTAAATAAAATAATACACAACAAAAATGTATAATGCAAACAAATGTTTCAAGAGATTAGACTGCAAAAGAGCACAACTACAGTTTTTTTTTGTTAGGCTAATGAGCATGTTCATTATCCCAAAATACAGTTTTACTGAATACTGGCACATGTCTATTTGGGAACATGCATAAAAGAGGCAGTATGTGCATGAAACACAAAGTCTACTTGTTACTGCAGGCTGTTGTGCTTTCTGTTGCTGTGGTTGTTGCGTTTTCTGTTGAGATGGTTGTTGCAGTTTATGCTGTGTTTTCTGTAGAGCTTTTTTCTGCGGTTTATCTTTAGCCAGACGCTGCTTGATATTTACAATGTGTTCCAACTTGTCTGAGCCTTTAAAAATCCACTCTTTCTGCTTGTCTTTCTAGAAAACAACAACAACACATTTATCAGCATCAAAATGGTCGACTTGTGGTATTACAGTGATGCCTTAAAATGTGATACAGCCTACAAAATTCACCAACAAATTTATCTCCAAGATCAAAATCTCCTAAAATCTGCCAGTAGGGTTAAGAGAGTTGACTGTGGGAGAAAACTTATGAAATGAAATTCTGTGACATTCCCATGAAGTACCCTTTGTTGTTCATGTTCCTTGGTATAAAGGCAATAAATAGTTAAATGCAGATGAAAGAAGAATGCCAGGTTCGCAGAGAAATCTAGCATCCCACAGTGGATTCATTTTCACCTTAAAGCAGATCTGGATGAGGCTGCCATCCAACTGGAGCACCGTGCAAGCCTCAAAATTGCCATTCCGCATCGCCATGGTGTCTTGCCCCACGCGAAGCACCACAGCAATGGGGTTGGGATAGACACGAAGATATTCCTTAACCTGCAACTGTAATGTCTCATCCTCAATGTCTTTCCACACCTTTTTCACTGCAAAGAAATAAAGTTTACAAAACTCTCTTTTAGCAGTCAAGTGATTACATGGGGTCTTAAAGGGGTCATATGATGCAATTTCAATTTTTCCTTTCTCTTTGAAGTGTTACAAGCTCTTGGAGCATAAAGAACACTTTACTTCTGTAAAGTTGCAAAGACTAAAATCCAAAGAGATATTCTTTATAAAAATTAAGAGTCAACCACACACTGGATGCAACAAATGCCTCGTTTATAATGGGTTTTAATGTTTTTGTCTCGTCGCTCCGGACGGACACGACATCACAATATGGTAAGGGGCGTAACATTTCCGTCACACGCTTGAGGAATTCGGCCAATCACAACGCACTGGATAGCTGGCCAATCAGAGCACACCTTGCTTTTCAGACCAATGAGCTTTGTAAAAATCGACGCGTTTCAGAAAGGCGGGGCATAGAGGAGAAACAATAATGTAAAGTATGTGGAAAATAATGTGTTTTTTGAACCTTAAACCGCATTAAACACATTTCATTACACCAAATACACAAAATACTGTTCTTTTTAGCAACATCATATGACCCCTTTAAACTAATGGCTGAAATGGAGTAATAAAGAAATTAAGAATGAGAATTTCTCACATTGTTTGCAGACAACATGAAAGTCTGGAAGTGCCAGGTAATCTGCTTGGCCGTCATCATAAAACACCAAGAACCTGATAGAAACATTTAACAAATGGATTTAGTTATTATATCAGACAAGATTAAAATAAAGAAAATAAGACACTTGTTAAATACTAATATTGAAAATTGAAAACAAAACAAAATGCAATAGCCTGGACATTATGCTAAATATTTTCTTTCATGTTTCATGAAAGAACAAAAAAAAAAAACAGATTATGAATGACCTGAGGATAAGAGGACTATCCCTTGAACATAAATTCACCTCATGCGATTCTTGCGCTCAGGAAGCTCAACCAGCACAGCAGCATTAAACGAGACCTTTCCTTCATCATCTTTGCTGCTGGCCACAACACGACAGCCAATAAACAAATCCTTAAGCACGGGAGGCTTCAGAGAGGCCACATGATGAGCAGGCAGCACAATCTCTTTACCACTCTTAAACTCCACCTTGTATCTGAGGCCATCCTCTAAAAGGAAAGAAAGATAAGACAGGTCAAAAATGCAACCAAATCCATTAGATTTTCACCTTCATTTTAATGTATTGTGGATTTACAGAATAGGTCAATCTTACCTGCTGTTTGGACTTCTTGTACTGTTCCTTTACACCACACGTTGTGTTGCCTTTTCCCCAAAACTCCCATGCTGACATTGAGTTTTATCTCTTTATGTTCTTGAGAAGGCTTGGAGGACTCACTGGATGAAGACTTGGAACCTAAGACAGAGTCAGTGACAGAGGACAAATACTGTTACTGTATGTATGGATGGACGTATGGATATCAGGTATATGTATATGCATATATATATATATATATGTATATATATATATATATATATATATACACATACACTTCTGTTTAAAAGTTTGGTTTGGTAAGATTTTATTTAATGTTATTGACAGAAGTATCTTATGCTCACCAAGGCTGCATTTATTTGATCAAAAATTGAGTAAGAACAGGATTATTGTGAAATAGCATTACTTTTCTACTATAACCTGTCTATTTTGATTTATATTAAAATGTAATTTATTCAAGTGAATACATATCATTTTCAGCAGAATTCAGCTGAATTTTCAGCAGCCTTTACACCAGTCTTCAATGTCACATGATCCTTCAGAAATCATTTTAATATGCTGATTTGCTGCTCAAGAAACATTTCTTATTATCAGTGTTGAAATCAGTTGTGCTGCTTCATATTTTTGTGAAAACTGTATTTGTTAACTAAAATGTATGACAGAAACCATAATGTAAGATTAGTCATAACTGATTAGTTCAGATACATCTGTAACACATTATGTAAAGCATGAGTTAATATACTGTGATATGAGCTGTATAAATAAAAAATAAAGCTTACTTTCATCAGGACTGGAAGATTCTGCAGGAGCATTATTGCCGCCGGTATCATCAGTAGTATCTGTCGATAACTCTGACTGTGATTTAGGGGGTTCATGATCACTGTCTATCAATGACTCCGAATGTGATTCAGGGGGTTCATAATCACTGTCAGCAGGACTAGCAGACAGGTCCTCTGTGTCAGAGGGGTCATTATTATTATCTGCAGGCGATGATGCCCTTGTTGTTTCCCTTTGTGGGCAGGAAGTGCTAGTACCAGGCGCAGTGTTTTTTGAAGATCTCAGCCTAGTTGTTGGACTTATTGTGGGCACAGAGGGTTTGGCAGATTTGCTCCTTGTTTTTGGCTTTCCGGTCTCATCTGTGGACTCCGAATCATGGCTGGCAAGAGTTACAGCTTCTTCAGAATTGCTCGGCAATGATGACACTTCAGGAGGAATCTCTGTGGTTGACTCGCTGGCATTGTCACTGGCAGCAGTTTCCATTTGTTCTGAACTGCTTGGAGGTGAAGACATTTCTACAGGGGTCACTAGCGGCAATTGAGGATCAGTCTCATTTGATGCTACAGATGCTGAATTAGGACAGGCACTAACTTTCAATTGTTCTGAGTCACGTGAAAATGAAGGGATTTCTGAAGACATTGCCGGCAACGTAAGTCCAGTGTTACTTGCTGCTTCGTGATCTGAATTGAGGCTGTTTGACTGTTCTAAATCACTTTCAAGCAAAGATGTTTCAGGAGTTAATGCTGTCGGCTGAGGTTCAGTCTTAATTGATGATATTTTGAAAGGTTTTGAAATGCTTGGAGGCGAAGTCATTTCTGGCTTTATTACCGACAACTGAGGCTCAGTCTTTATTGTTGCTATGGATCCAAAATTAGGACTGGCAATTGTTTCTAGTGTTTCTGAAGGACTCACTGCTGTCAATTGAGGTTCAGTCTTAATTAATTTTAAGGATGGACAGTTAAGACTAGCAGCAGTTTCATGTTGGTTTGAAATGCTCATTTCCCAAGGGGTTAATGCTGTCGGTTGTGGTTCAGTCTTAATTGTTGGTTTAGAATCTGGCTTTTGACAGGCAATAGATTTCTTTTGTTCTGAATTGCTGAGAAGCGAGGACATTTCAGGTGCTCTCGATAGAGATTCGGTCTTAACTATTGCAATAGAGTTTTCAGGTATTTCCATTTTTAATGGTATTATTTTTGATGTGACCGATTCAGAATGGCTGGTCTCAGGGGTCGAGGTTGATGAGGGTCTGTTGGAGAAGTCAGACGATGATGATGATGGTGATACAGCACTTACGGAGGAAGTTTTGTTCACCATATGGACTAAGTCCTGAACGAGTCTGGATGACTTCTGAATGGCCACAGTCACCTTTTCAAGCTAAAAGAAAAAGAAAGAATTAAGACAAAAACACAGAAAGAAAAACAGAAATAATGAAAAACAGACGAAATCTAGAAAGAAAGACAAAGAAATAGACAAAGACAGACAGAGAAAGAAAATGTGTAAATAAAAGACTACATAATTAATACTAGGGATGTGCGGGTCTAATCGACCAGTCGACTAAACGGTACAGCTCCTACTAGTCAACACTGAAAACAATAGTCGATTACACGATAGAAAAAAGAAAAGAAAAACAAAAACATGATTTTATCATTCAAATTACCATCATTTTAACATTGCATTTAAAATGTTTTAAATAAGTTCAAATAAAACGTTTGAAAAATAATACATTATTTTTAAAAGTTAATCTGGGCGGAAACTACATTTTTACCTCCGACCTCACATGCGTTTTCTTCGTGTCAGTTGCGGTGAGTTCAAAAATGACCACGCGAAAGACGAGCGAGGTGTGGGATTATTTTGAATTAGAAGGAAACTGAAAAATTTTGTGTAAACTGTGTAATGTCAAATTGTCTTAATAAACCTTCCTATTGTTTTTGACTTGTGTTTTAATATGTTGGCTAACGTTATATGAAGATTAAGAATTCTGTCAGGCTATTGATTGATTTTCCATTGTTCTGTATTTCCCCAGCTGATTTGAATAAATAAGCTACGCTTTGGCCGACGTTGAGTGTATGATCTTCTTTTTTTTCTTTTTAATGACCGAAATGATGATAACGCGAGGCAAGTGTGCGGCAAGCGGAATTCATTGAGGGATTTGACAGTGTGATTCATAGATTAAGTATTTCAAATATAGGCTATTATATATGCTACACGCACGCACAGAGGTTTTTTTTTCTTACCATCTTTTGGGGGTTTCTTGCTTTTAGACTAGTCGACTAGTCAGATACAAAACTTTCGTTTAAACGACAGTCAAATTAGTCGTCGCGCACATCCCTAATTAATACATGTAAAAAAATCAAAGAAAAATGAATGAAAACAATGAAAAATAAAAGAAAGTTCAAAAAGCACAAAATTTAAAGGAAAAAATAAAAAAAATACAAAAAGAAAAACATAATACAAAATAACCTGTTATTGCATGTAAATAAAATTGCATGTGTGACACCAATTTTTCAGTTAACATTCTCACCATTGGTTCCAAGGTTTCTTTGGTGGCTGCAAGAGAAAAAAACAACATGGTATCAGATTTTTAATTACAAAGCCATCCTTTACAATATTAATATTTCCAAGCACTTTCCATTAAAATGTCTTTTACCTCCCAGATCAATGACAACAATATCATCATCATCTCCATTGAAGACACTATTTTCCTGTCTATACTCCTCTTCATCTGTGACATGAATGACGTCAAGTGGTTCTCCTCCTCCTCCTTCCTCCTCCGAATCCTCGTCTCGGTACTCCAATCCCAGCATTCCATAAAGACCCTTCATCACCGACTCACACTCAAGGACTGACCTGATACAGACACAAAACACAGTCAAATGGTCACCGTGATTTGGAGATACTGTCATCAATCATTAAAAAACACAATAACTCACTCGTGGGCATTGCCATACAGAAGGTGGGTGTAAGTGGATTCCCTCTCCTTCTGCTTCACCCACTCCTCAACCTGCACCAGTTGCTCACGCCTCTGCACCAGATGAGGGTTTCGTTCCACCTCTGCCTGGATCCAGCGCTGCAGGTCATCCTTTGTCATTCTCAGGAGGTTATCATCATCTTTTCTGCTACTCATGGTTCTACTGTTGGAGCAACATAATGAAAAAGGCCAATCGTTAATAACTGCACAATAACTGATTTGCTCATAGCATATTGTGCATCACACACTACATACCTGTTTTTGAGTTTTGACATTTTGCATAATTTTCTGTATAAAGGAATAGTTGACCCAAAAAATAAAAATAGCTGAGAATGAACCCTCAGCGCATTCAAGATGTATATGTTCAGAACAGATTTGGAGAAATTTAGCATTACATCACTTGCTCTCCAAAGGATCCTCTGCAGTGAATGGGTGCCGTCAGAATTAGAGTCCAAACAGCTGATAAAAACATCACAATAATCCACAAGTAATCCAGTCCATTAGTTAACACCTTGTGAAGTAAAAAGCAGTGTGTTTGTAATAAGAAACTTCAAACTTCAAATCACTGCTTCAGGCTAAAATATGATATGTTCCATATTCCATAATATAGTTTTTTCTAGTGAAAATGTCCTGTCTGAATCAGAAGAGAGATATGCACAGATCAAGCAATATTTACAAGTGAAAACTGTCCAAAAGTTCGAAACAAATTTGCCTGGGGATTTTGTTGTGAGAGGTCAACAGGGGATGGAAGAGTTATTACAGATTATAGACTTCTATTTTAACGATGGATTTGTTTCTTACAAACATGCCGCTTTTCACTTCACAAGACGTTAATTGATTGTCTGTAACCATGTGGATTATTGTGATGTTTTTATCAGCTGTTTGGACTCTCATTCTGACGGCACCCATTCACTGCACAGGATCCATTGGTGGGCAAGTGATGTGAAGAAAATTTCATTTTTGGGTGAACTACGCCTTTAACTTGGATTTGACTTCACATTGGGTTTTAAGCAATATTCTGTTTTTGTTGTTTAAGCATTTGTACAACATCTCTACATAATGTATTTATTTGTACATAAACACCTCTTGAACAGACACATAGTGTGAATGCAGGATGCATATTGTCCAGCACTTAACACATGGCTAATACTCTTGATTGACAGCTCAAACGGCAGTAACTAGTAGTAACTTAGTTACTGTAATAATATTACTTTTTGCAGTAACTAGTAGTTTAACTAATTACTAATAAGATTTCAGTAATATTACAGTTACCATCCATAAAACAGCTTAGATACTTTTGATGCCTCAACCCCGCTGATTTAAAATCCAACAATCAAATAATTCCTAGATTTATTTTCATAATTTTCAGGAATCGCACATGCATGTGATGTCCCCAGTGCAGCAGGCAAGCTTGGAATATGGAAAAGCTTACATTCAGCAGATAGAAATATTGCATTATATTGATTTTGTCAGGAATAAATATGATCTGAACACTGTTGTGTAAGTTGTGGCTTTACTTTGGCATTACATCCCACCCACACCCCTCTGATCAGCATGTGGTACATTATATAATTAAAGATCTTTTTGGAATCTTGTTGGCAGTTTCTTACAAACTCATGTGATTTGATCAAATACATGATGAAAGCTTCAAGCTACACATCACAATTCATGAGATTAATACAACACTTCTACTTGAATGTGACTATCAATCACTATTGAGTGTTTGTAATAACTTCTGACTGCGATCCGATGTGTATTTTGGTCAAATGATGAGGCAGAAATATGTTGCTAGTAACATTCTAGAAGAATTTTATGTGGAAGGATACGGTTACAACTTCTGTGGGGCGTGAAGAAAAAGTAATGTAACTAGTAGTGTAACTAATTACTGTTGCCAGAAAGTAATCAGTAAAGTAACTATTACTTTTGAAAGGAGTAACTAGTAATGAGTAATATGTTACATTCTTTTGAGTAAGTAGCCCAACACTGCTGACAGATCAAGAACTGTAAAGAGGTGTGACAACTGGAGGGAATATATAACATAACTTATATACGTTAACTCCATTCCCTTTAAATTGACTAAAATTAAGGCCTAATAAACCAAATGTGGCTACTCTTTGCTATGGCAATATGGCAACCGCGTAAAGCAAGATAACAACACAAGGTGACATACATACGGTCCAGTTCCCCAACTTGCTGCTGTAGTATGTTTGAATCCTGAAGACACTCACGTAACAATTATCAAAAAGCGCGCAGCTGCAGGATTATATGGCGGACACTATTCCGCTTGTTTATATGTCGGCAAAGCACAAAGTCTACCAGTGCTGCAAGGAAGAGTCTTTATATATAGCCTACAACTTACGACATCATATGAAAAACTAAAAAGTGCGCAATAAAATTAACTAAAACCGCATGGTGGGAAACAATGCCCAGACTGTTACTGTGCCTGTGCTGTGAGGTGGGGGACGCAGTCTACAAGAGACATTCTGATTGGTCCAGTGCACGTTGACGCGAGAGGATTAGTCACACCCACAAAACACTTTAATCGCTTGCCATCAACGAGGATCTAAAATAGGTGGACTTAACGGGCATAGTTGTAATTTTTTAAGTGTCAGCTCTAAATGATAATTATTGTAGTTTAACGCGTAGTTCCACGTGTGCTTTCTATCAAATGGCTATTAGAGATTCTATTTGTATTTTTAGTGCTGTAATTTATCGTCAAACTGGTTTATGGACGAGCCATCGCACTTGCCAACTGTTACTTTTCTCAGCGCTGGCATAGATGGACCAATCACAATTGTTTAGTCAGCCTGTGATTAGTCTTTGATGGAAAAGGATGGAACTCTGCGGATAAATGAAAAATTAAGTAACATACTTATTATGTGGACTTGAATTTGAGGCTTTGTTTTAATAAACATGTAGCTTATGGTACAATTATCATTTTTAAGATATTAACTAATCTAATTCTTGAGAGAAAAAAGCTAATTACCATTTGGTAAAACATTTTTTTTAGCATATAACAGAAATACAGACAAATATAAAACATATAAAAACACACATACATATAAAACAATAAAGGGTTTTTCAGCAATCATTTGCCCTAAAAGCCCAGACCAACTAAATAAAATGTCAAGGGAAAAGCTTACTAAAAAAATTATCAAAACACTTATCAAAACACTTAGTGAAATAACACTTACTGTAGTGACCAACATGTTAAACAAATCAAAACTAATATTTAACCCTTTGTCTAGAACTCTGTTTGCTCCACGTATTATGTCAGTGAATATGTAAAATTACAATACAGCAAAGATAAAAAAGTTACACAAACAATGAAAGCATGAACTATTGATATGGTTGAGTTGAGGCAGTAAATGCATATATTAATCTTTCATATAAATTGCAAATATTAAACCCTTCTTGTCATTCTGTTAGGCTTCATTGGTGGTCTTGGGCTCACCGTGTTCATCCTCCACCTGACCAGAGAGGGTTTTCTTAAGAGGGTCCCTGAGGGACATGATTTCTTGTATCTTCAGGAAGGTGTCACAATCTGAGGGAAACTGATTCCTCTGAAAAACAGCTGAAATCAAAACAAGCTCTTTAAAAAGGATTAGAAAAAGAATGATGATACTCACATTGAGAGAAAGACGCAGAAGTCCACCTTCACCCTGGCCTTCCAGAGATGAGAGGAACACCTTGAGTGACTGCTCAGACAATTTATTTCCTGCATTATCAGAAAAGAAAACCTTACAACTATAATGTACAAGCAAGTTGAGTTGATTTCCAGTCCCCTCCTCTTCTATTATATCATGAATACATAATTATAGTTTTCTTAAAACTAGTGTATCTATTCTGGTATTTATGTTACAAGCAATGTCTGTATTTGGTATCTGAGAGGCGACTGAGGGTCTGACCCATGTCAAGAATGCAGTAACAGTGTTTACTCACTTAGTCCGGCTTCCAGAGAATAAATATGTATTTGTTTTATAATAATTAATCTGAATCATTATATAAACATATGTTATATTTTATAGAAAAAGAGTTATCATTTTGAACTTTGTTCTTATTTTATTACGTGGTTCTCATGATAGATGTATGAGACATTTAAAGACCAATGCACCACATGTATCCACTAACTTTTATGTATGTTAGCCTATCAGAACCTGTGGAAATGGTGTCAACTGATCATCCATATGACTATCAGTACTACACTCTTAAAAATAAAGGTGCTTCAAAAGGTTCTTCACAGCGATGCCATAGAAGAACCATTTTTGGTTCCACAAAGAACCATTCAGTAAAAGGTTCTTTAAAGAACCATCTCTTTCTTACCTTTTTGTAATCTGAAGAACCTTCTTTCACCACAAAGAACCTTTTGTGAAACAGAAAGGTTCTTCAGATGTTAAAGGTTCTTTATGGAACCATCTAGACAAAAAGGTTCTTCTATGGCATCGTGAAGCACCTTTATTTTTAAGAGTGTAGTGGGTCTATATTCTGAGTTAGTTCAAGGCTGGCTCCTCTTACTCATTTGCTACGGCCTTTGGAAGTGTGGAGAACTCTGTCTTCACTAAACTGTCTGTCAACTGATTGAACTTGACTCCTGGTGTTCATTGAGCATATTGGTCTCTCACTACGGGGTTTAACTGTAGTTCCCCTACAGTTTCACACTAATGCTGAAATGAAATCAATTCTGAAATGAAATCACCTGAGAGATTCAGAGAAGTAAGGCATGTGTTTCCCGGATGAATGACTTTCCCTCCAGCGTGCACGATTCCAGGATCCAATAGACGAATCACAGTCTCAACCACGTCCACTCTCTGACAAACAAATGTGTCCATGTTTAATGGGAAATATCTAATTGTAGCAAAAGGGGTTTCATAAACTCATGAAATTCTTATCTCGCGGGGCAACAAACAAATTAAATATGATTATATATATATATATATATATATATATATAATTTTGAAAATTTAGCATTTTCCTTCCTTCCTGTCTGTCTTTGTCTTATTCTTACCTCTTGGTCAGATACTAGCAGATTGTTGTCTTTGCCTGCTAATTTTCCAGCCTGAATACGGGGAACTTTATTATCTGAGTGAAAAGCAAGACAGAAAATATTTTCTCGACATGTAAACTACGTAAAATATACCATATAAAAATATGCAAAATATACTATGTAAAATATAAAGTCCACTTCTGAATCGCAAACAAACAGTTGTCAAAGGAGTTCAATTACCTTTCTTGGCCACCTTTGGCTCTTCTTTTTTTGCTGCCTGACCTGCTGCTGGTTTCTCCTCTTTCTTAGGGTTGTCCTACACACAATAAAGTAAAATCTTGCTACAAACATTATTAAACAACTGTAAATCATTGTATTGTATCTCAAAAACAGAGACAGACTCTTTTCATGTCATAAAATGTATATACAATATATAGGGAACAGCACTGCTCAACCTTCTTTTTGGTGGGGTTCTTTGTACTCTTGTTGAGGCGATCCAGTGAAGAGCTGCTGCGGACGGAAAGAGGCCGCTCATGTGAGTCTGCAAGACTAACCAGAGATGGCTGGACCATTGTTGATTCTTCACCTTTAATTAACAACTTCCTCCTTTCAACTATCTCCTCATGTGTCAGAGCAAAGGGGCCAAGCACCTAAATAAGGATATTAGAAAAAGATGTATGGAAATATACATGTTTAATGTGTCAAGTTAGGCAGAGTAAGGCCGATAAAATGAAGTTGTTAATAGGAGTATATATGTATACCTCAGCCAAATGAGCTGCTCCATTATCCCCTATTTGATTGTAGGATAATGACAGACACAGCAAGGAACGGTTGAGACGCAGACCCTTTAAAAGAGGGATGGGTGTTATTAAAAACTCGGTTTTAAGTATTTGCAGTCATGACATCATTAGAAACTGTCTGAATGCCTTCAGATGGAGTTAAATTTTACACACCTGAGAAATGTGAATCGCACCTGCATCACCAATACTATTAAAGGCTAGGTTGAGGGACAGGAGGTTTTTGTTGGCAGAGTGTACAGTGGACAGAGCCGAGCCAATCAGACAAGCTCCTTCCTCTCCTATATGATTATTACGTAGTGATAAGTCCGTCAACCTAGCATGGACATTATTTGAAAAAAGCTGAAAAACTCAAATAAAAAAAGTGAAAAACTACAAATAATGCATTTTGTCATTATGAGAGAGATACATTATAACACACATTATAACATTGTTTTGATATCATAAAAGTCAGATGCACTTTAAAGGCCTCATGGCCTATGTGACTGAGATTGTGTATGAAGGATTCGAGAATGAATAATGTGTACACTGCCCACAAAGATTATTAACACTTTGACAGCTCATATGTACGGTAATATGCCTCTGGGACCTCTGGGCACCTGGAGAGGGTTAAATAAAAAAATAAAAACAGACCAGTGGGAAAACAGAAAATTAAAAACAGACCAGTGGGTAAAATCACCCAATTAAAGAAGAATCGATAGAGCTAATAAAAAAATTGTGGAAAGCAAGGGGAATAACATACATAAAAAAGGTGACCTATATGCTTATTGGACAGTGACTTATAACGAAACTGTATAAGAATGGAAGCTTGGAACGAGATCAGTTCAGATGGTCAGCTGGCATTTTGGCTTTGTTGTCTTGTCCACTAAAGTCTCATTTTGACTTCTGAAACTCTGCCTCTGAGTATTATTCCAGCAAGAATGAGAAGACTTTTCTGCATTACAACTTAACCGTATTTTGAAGACAAATTTGTACGCAGAAGTGAACTAAATCTGACAGAACCTCCATTTAAGGTAAGTCATTACTTGTAAATAAATAAATAAATAAATAATTCATTCATTCATTTTTACTACAATTTAAAATAACAGTCTTTATTCTAATATATTTTAAATCAATTGTAATTTATTATCAATTGTATTTAATATTTTCTGAGAAAACTGTAATGCAATGTTACTTTTGTAACATTGTTTTTACTGTCACTTTTAATCAATGAATGCATCCTTGCTGAATAAAAGTATTACTAAAATATCCCAAAACATTTACCCCAAACTTCTGAATGGTAGAATATATAGTAAGTGTAGCGTTTGGACCAATCAGACACACAGCTATTAATTATATTGAATGAATAATCCAGCAAACCCCCTCACCTAAAAAGCAAACTATGTGTTAGAGTTCTGTGGACAATCCCGAAAAGCAACTGACACCCCAAAAAGGCAGAATAGGCCTCTGGTTACCATGGCAAGCAATGATAAATCATCTGACAACACTGCTTTTATTGCTCAAAGGAATGTGGTCAGTTACTCTCACTCTATTTCCCCACAGGAAAGACACATGATGCCCATAGAAATGGACTCTTCCCTATTAATTCATAGACAAACCTTTCTATGACCTTCCTATCATGCATAACCCCTAGGTCATTGTGTATATTATTACTGTTCTTGTATATTGTCTTTTGCATTGTATACTGTTTTATGCATGCTTATGATAGAATCCTTGGTTAATATAAACTCACCTATAGCATGTTTGGTATCTATGAATTCCTGTTTTGATTATCTAAATGAGAGGGTATATTATATGTTACCCTGGAAGAACGTGATTGCAATTCCAACATCACCAAACCTTCAAACCATCAAGACTTTTATCTGAGACTACATCCCGAATAAAACTTTTGTGCACATATTACATGAGTTTCTGATTCTGTCACTGCTTGCTTGTAAATCAATGTCCCTTTAATGATTCCTGATCATGTTACATGCTTTAGTGCAGGGGTCTCCAAACTTTTTGTGAGTGAGGGCTCCCTGAAGGTATAAAATAGTCTCAAGGGCTACTTGTTTGATATACTCCAATACATATACATTATATATATATATATATTCTCTCTAATATCTTGATATCTTGCATTTTATACAAAAATGCATTTTATTTTCCCCTAAATTCTGTGTTTTCCATTTGATTTCTTATGGATTCCGTGTTTTATGATTCAGTACAAATTTATCATAAAAAATGGTGTCTAGTAAAATGAATTAATAAAACATCAACAGGAACTCTCTGAAGATGAAGTGCATGTGTTCATGTCCTCATATATTGAGACGGCGACGCTGAAAACACCGCGAGTCACGTGTGTTTGAGTTTGTGTATCAGATGAAACTACTCCACGCATTCACACAGAACATGCAGAATTATTAGCTACATGCACTGAATGGTTGCTGTAACATCTATTTCTGTTGTGATTAATCCATATTGAGTAAAAATCCAAAAGTCCAGAGCTTATCATCATTATTAAAGTTGGCATGAAACGGAAGTTGCGATTGTCTTTTCTTCTCTACTGTGACGTATATCCGAGTGAAACGGCATCTGTAATGAGCGGGCGGGACTTGATTTCGTCCTTCGGGAATTGATTGGATCGTTGGAAGCTGGGGCGTTGCTAACAAAATGGAGGCAGATCTGAATGCCAGTTTGCAGTTTGTGGTGGGGGATTTCTCTCTGAATGACTGAGTGTGTCCTCCATCAGGTTAAGTCATACTCATGAAAAAATTAGTTTGCGATGTCCTAAGAGTAATGTTGTCGTAATATCCTAATATCTTTTCAATGTTTAGGGGTAACGTACTCCCTCATGACTGGTGTCAGTGCTATAAAGTGAAGCATCAGCTTCAGCTTTTCCCCGTCGTTTATCCCAGCGTTTACCCCTCACGTCACTAGCTCCGCCCTTGCGCCATAGCTCGTGACCGGAAGAGAAGATGAGTCGTTTAGAGGAGGAGGGGAGGTTAACGTTTTTGATTCAAGATTACGAGGGCACATGAATTTAAAAAAAATAATTAAGTGCACGGATAAATTATTTATAATAAACACTACAGTATTCCATTAAAAAATAAGAATTTTAAATTTTGATTTCATGGTGACTTTAACATAACTTTTATCATAATCTCAATATGATATAATTTATCGCCCAATGCTAATTTAGGCTATTTATAGAACGTCCTTGGTGGGCGACTCAGAGACTCCTTGCGGGCTACCAGGTGCCCACGGGCACCACGTTGGTGACCACTGTGCATTAGTACTCTAGTGCATTAGTAAGTTATTTTCTGTGGTCACGAAAATTACATTTCCTAGAGTTGATATAAAATTACTCTGAATGTTCGCTGGACGAACAGATTAATTGATGGTAATATTAATTCTGCAACAGTTACTACTGGCAGCTAATATAAATAATGGTAATTAATTATAATTAATTGTAATTATTTATATACATTTCCCTTTTGAGCTAATTTGCTACATAAGCATCAAGTGTTGTTGGAGTAGATAGCGCTGGAGGGCAATGAGATTTGCCTGAAAGCTCCTCTGGCAACGATGGACAGCATCACCAGATAGCGTTCCAGGCTACCAGGAATGCCTGGAGTTCCTCTGGCACCGTGGGATAAGAAAACTTTGATAAGTTTTATCATTTGACTAATCATTCATGTACTCTACATAATCATGGCAACCATGGGCAAGGCTAAGACATTCCATGCACATGCTTTAATACACATTGTTTTTGATTCATTGTTTATTGACCCCCAAGGATGTATAGGTAGGGAGGCAGACACTTTTACTCTTCTCTAGTCAACCGTGAGGAGAGATGTTTGAATGCGACTTCCTCCGGAGTGCAGCATCATGGAGAAGCCATTTGTTGGGGGACCATTATTGGTTCATAGATGAATGGAAGGTAGAGGTGGACTTATGGTGTTGCACTCTGGGTAAAGGGTTTAGAAGTGAGACTTGATAAAGTCTCAGAGGGGGGAATGTGTTGTGATATTTTACTTGAAAATATGATGTATGATTATAACGATAATCAATAGACTGATCAATATGGTGATTGTTTCAATGATTGCTTCAATATTGGATGTCTTAATGCAGACTGTGAGTCCTAGGTGCTTTCCAATGGGCAAGTGTAGGTGCTCCCCATTGGACAGCGCAGATGAACTTGAGTGAACCAGTGAACTTTGGGTAACTTCCAAGAATATGTCAGGGATGGCACAAACAAGTTTGATGAATGGCCTATGAGGACACCTGCGTCCAGGGGAAGGATGAGATAAAAAGTATTAGGAGAATGGTTCAAACTAGCAGGAGTCCACAATTAGTAAAACTAGAGGAATAAGACCAATCAGAGACCGAGCTACCAATCTTTGGTTTAAAAGACTGATAAGAATAAGGTGTAAGCATGGATGTTGGGTCAGACAAAGACTCAGTTGCGGTGACCGTCATCTCGGCTTTGTTGCTTTGTCCAATAAAGTCTTATTTTGACATCTGGAACTCTGCTTCTTGAACTTCATTTACTACATTGAGAAGACCATTGTGTGTTCCAAGACAGTGTAAGTATGTTTAAAAATGAAAATGACTCACATGCTGTCTTCTGCTATGAGTAAGTGGTAACTCTGCTCAGGGAGTGGATTGCCCTCCAAAACCACTTTCCTAGCAAGATATAAGTTGGTAGATGTTGTCTTCAGATTTTCCAGTATCAATTACCATAATTTATTTTCCAAATAGATCTTTTGTCTGTGGTGTAAAGCATAAACTAGCAGGCCTATAGCCCACTAGTGGATATGATGATAAGGTTTAAATAACATTCTGATATTTAATTAATGTTAAATTAATTAATTAAAAGTTTATAACACACTGAATGTCGGTCTTAATAACACTGGCAAGAAATAATAAAGTCATTCTAGCTTTTGACTGCATGTTCTTACCTGAGATTTGAGCACAAAGACACTGTGTTTCTCATGGAGATGAAAGTGTAATCCGTCAGGCCCACACGCCACATGCTGCAATGAATCACCATTACTGGGAAATTTACATATCATACTGTTCATTTGTAACATGGACACCCATAAGCATACATACAACACACACACTCAAAGTCTTACTGTAAGCACTGTAAGTTACTAAGGGACGGCAATATCCTGCTCAACACCTGAAGCACCACCTCATCCATCTTCCATCCTATCAACAAATAACAACAATTCAGCCTGAATTTTGCATATGATCAAATTGAACAACTTCACATAGAAAATAAATCGTTGCAGACATCAGTCGCAACACTTACAAAACAAGTTGACACTCTCACTTCTGAAAATAGAAGAATTAATGAAACTCTACTTGAAATACAAGCTAGGAGTATGCAAGATAATTTGAGCTTCACTGGGATTCCTGAAAATATTTCTTCCAATGAATCAGAAGCACTCATTTTGTGTGAACCAGAAATTTTATGATCTCGAAGCTTAAACTTGACAAAGAAACTGATGATTCGATCTCCTTCCATCGGGTGCATAGGGTCAGCAAATTTACCAGCAAAAGCCCTTGTTGACAAACTAGAACACTTTAAGCACAAAGAGATCATAAAAAGCAAAGAAAAAGAGCTTAAAGGAGCTCAAACTTCGGGATTAATGATCAATTCCCAAGAGAAATCAACGAGTGCCGAAAGATACTTTATCCAATACTGAAACAACAAAGACTGAAAAATAAACACGCATATTTAAGTGTGGATAAACTATTTATTGAGGCACAACTTTATCGTGATCCTTCGATAACTCCATGGCTGTATTAAAGGGGTCATATGATGCGATTTCAATTTTTCATTTCTCTTTGGAGTGTTACAAGCTCTTGGTGCATAAAGAAGATCTGTAAAGTTGCAAAGACTAAAGTCTCAAATCCAAAGAGATTTTCTTTATAAAAGTTAAGAGTCAACCACGCCTACCTAAAATGGCTCGTTCTAACACGCCCCCACATGTCTACGTCACGATGTGGGAAGATTTGCATAACGGCGCCCAAATGTTCACGCAAAGAAAGAAGGCGTAACTTTTATTCTCGCTGTAGTATTGTTGTTGCCGCCTCCGCCATGTCGTGAAGGTTCTGTTTTTTGTTTGTTGAAAGCGAAACTATTTTGGTTGGCCTTCCAAAAGAGGACGATATCCGCTTCGTCATGCCTGGAGCTGATCCGTGCTGGTCGCTGAGGAAATACATCAACTTCGCGCTGTGGATCGCCAGATCGGCTTTCACCGTGGACAAAGCGGAGTCCAGCCCGGGGTCGTCACATGTGGTTGCCGCAAGCCCGCCGGACGCTCCTTCGTCGAATCCGGCGGCCGCACCGTTCTCAAGCCCGCCGGCCTCCGCTCACTCAAGCCGGCCTCCGCTCACTCTAGGCCGTGGCTCACTCTAGGCCTCCGCTCACTCAAGGCCGCGGTGTGTGACGCTGTTTCGTTGTGAAAGCGAAACTACTTTGTTTGGCCTTCCAAAAGAGGACACCGCTAGAAATCAGTGGTTAAGTTATATTTACAACACTGTTCTGTTCTGACTGTAAGTATATTTTTTATATTTAAAGAATTTGCCATTAACGATTCAAACGTGAGTTTTTTGGGCAGTGTAGAGTAGCGCTGGTTGTTTGTCATTTCTCCGATCACAAATGCAGACATGGTTTTATGTTTACGCGGCGCAACGCAATGCGTAAAAAGACAGTATAATGTGTCTCGTCGCTCCGGCCGGACAGGGCATCACAATATGGTAAGGGGCGTAACATTAATATAATAATAAAATAATAAAATAATAATAAAATAATAATTAAAAAAATAAATAAAATGTTTACTATTGTTAATTTATACGGCCCCAATTAAGATGATCCTGAATTTTTTCATCTACTTTTTTCACAGATTTCTAGCTTATCAGGTAATTGAATTTTATTGGTTGGTGGTGATTTCAATGGAGTTTTAAACTCAGTTTTAGATTGATCTAATAAGGTGATTAATAGAGAGCATTCACAATCGGCTGCTATAATAAAGCAATACATGGAGGATTTGGGCCTTGGAGACTGTTGGAGAATTAAAAACAAGACAGCAAACTAATATTCTTTTTTCTTTTCTGTTCATAAGTCATTTTCACGAATTGATTTTGTTGTTGTTGAGTAATTCTAGTATTCAGAATATCATTAATGTTAAAATTCATCCTATAATAATTAGTGATCATGCACCTATATCATTACAGTTAAAGGTTGATAGTTTTAACATTAAAAGTCCATCTGTATGGCGTTTTAATATTTCATTATTGGAGGATCCCGATTTTGATACCTTTATAAGGAAAGAATGGGACATTTTTCTTAAAGATAATGATACCCCTTATATTTCATCATCTGTATTATGGGAAACCTGGAAAGCAGTAATTAGGGGAAAAATTTTTTCATATTCATCCCATAAGAAAAAACAAGAAAGTAATTTAGGACATAATTTAGAGGAAAAATCTAAAAAATTAATAGACTTATATACTAAAAATCTGGATCAAAGCTTATGGGAACAAATACAAAAAATAAAATTTTTGATTGAGAATATTAAAGAAAGTAAAATTTATGATGCAACAACTTAGATATAATAGAGAAAAATCAATTATTACTATTAATGATTCTGTGGGTAATTGTAAACAATCGCCAGAATAAATAAATTAGGTTTTTAATTTTTTTTATCATGAATTATATTCTTCTATAAATGATCCAAAATCAATAGATATTCAATTATTTTTAAATCAATTAAATCTTCTAAGTTTAACAAAAAAAACAAGCTGATTATTTAGTTATGCCTTTAACTTTACCAGAGTTGCATAATGCATTGATGATAATAAAGCTCCAGGGCCAGACGGGTTTCCCGCAGAATTTTTAAAACATTTTTGGGACATAATGGCTCCAATGTTTTGCAGAATGGTTAGAGAAATAAAGATAGCTTTAATAAGATTATTATTGAAACCTGATAAAGATCCAACTTTGCCTTCAAGTTATCGTTCACTATCCTTGATAAATACTGATATTAAGATAATTTCTAAAGCTCTTGCATTTCGCTTGGAATCAACAATTTCTACAATTATACATAAAGATTGAACTGGATTCATTAAAGGTCGCCATTCTTCAAGTAATTTAAGAAGACTTAATATAATTGATATATCACAGCGTAATCAAAGCCATTGGCAGTTCGCCAAAATGTAAATATTCAAGGCATATCTATCGGTAACATAGAACATAAAATAAATTTGTATGCAGATGATATATTGTTGTATCTTCGAGATTCAGCTAATTCCTTAACGGAATTTTCAAGATTATATCATCATATTCACAGATTTCTGATTATACCAAATTGGACAAAATCTACAATACTTCCAGTTACAGTAAATTCATGGAATCCTTCATCTCAACCCCTACTCTCATTAAATGTGTAATGTGGGTTTTGGGTTTTGTTTCATGTTCATGTTTTCATGTCTTTTATTTTGTAATTGTTTTATGCTGAACCCAGCAGTTGTTCGCCTTCTGAGCCTTCGTCAGGGAAGTCGGACCATAGAGGACTATGTGGAGGACTTTTGTGGACTGAGCCATTTAGTGGATTTTAATGATGTGGCCCTTAAGGACATTTTTCGAGTGGGTGAACTCGAATTTATTTTGTAATTGTTTTATGCTGTTTGTGTCATGCTTCCCTTGCCCTCATGTATTCATGCCATTGGTTCCCTTGTCTGTGTGTCATGTTCTGATTGGTAGTCTTAGTCATGTGTCTTGTTCCCCATTGGTTTGTTCATGTCATGTGACCCTCCTTGTCTGCCATAAGTAGCCATCATGTTCCCATTGTGCCTGGTCGTGTATTGATGTTGTAACCCGCTGTCGGTGAGTCTAGTCTGTTATGCCTCGTCAAGTCTGTTCATGTCAAGTCTGTTTTAGTCAAGTCTGTTCATGTCAAGTCAAGTCACGGATTATTGTTTGGATGTTTGGATCACTGTAAATAAAACTGCACTTGGGTTCTCACTACGCTCGCCTTCAGTGGACTGATTCGTTACAAAATGTTAGAGGTAATATTAAATACTTGGGTGTAATTTCTTTCTTTCAGAAATTGTTCATTTAAATTTCTCTCCGATATTAACAAAAATTACTAATGTTTAAAACGCTGGAATACTTTGCCTCTTTCTTTAATAGGGCGAATAGCAACTGTCAAAATGAAAATCCTCCCTCAGATTAATTATTTATTTTCAATGATTCCATTTGAGCCTTCTAAATGGTTCCAATCACTGAACTCAATTATATCTGGTTTTTATTGGAAAGATAAGAAAGTTAGAATTAGTCTATCTATTTTGCAAAAAAATTAATTACAGGGGGGCTTAGACGCTCCAAACTTTTGAATGTATTATATAGCAAATCAGTTACAATTTCTTACTAAGTGGATACACATTCATTCAGATAATGATGCTTGGATGGATTTGGAACAATATGATTGTAATGAAATTAAATGAAGTGATATACATTTTATTGGAACATTGATTAAACAACATAATTGTTTTAAAAATAAACTAATTTCTTCTACTCTCAAGTCTTGGTGGAAAATTAAAAATATAACTAAATCTTCAATTGATCCATGTATACATTCTCCAATTTGGTATAATCCTGATTTCTATTTTAACAAAAAAACTCTTTATTTCTCCAAATGGAGTCAATGCGGCATAACTCATCTTCATCATTTTCTGATAGTAAGTTTATCTCCTTCAAAAATTTTACATCTAATTATGCTATTCTTTAAGGAGAATTTATTCATTATTTACTAGGGGTGTGAGATCCGATGTGTCTCGCGAGAACGTGACGATATCCTCCGCTACTGGCATTTGTCAGACCTTTCAGACATATTTGCATTACACTGGCTCATTCGCCAGTAGTGGTATGTAAGATATTTTATGTTCACCTGCGAATACAATATGCTTAATGTTACCTGCGGTTAACAGGATGCTCCAGTGTTTAACTAATCACCTATCTACCTATCTGAAAGATCGGGCTAGTGCTGCTTCCTGAAGAAAGTTTATCATTCTCACGTGTTTTAAGCCTTGTCAGTTTAAACATTAAAGTGTTTTAAGCCATTCAAGCGTGAGAAAGCGCGAAAGAAATTTCAGTGCGGTACTCGTGCAGTGATACCGTTTCTGTGCGCACGCACGCAAAAAGCCCATATGCGAGAGACACACCATTTTGGTATTTGTGAATCATATGTATATTCATCATCTGCTTTATGTACATGGCACTGGCAGTATTTTCACAAACGTGTAACTTACATGCTTAGAGCAGCACCATGCATCATCGTTCATTTATATCGCTACATGGCTCCCTGCAATACAACTCTGATTCTTCAATCGCGCCATCTAGTGGTCTGTTATTGATACAACCACAACTGCTACAACTGATAACGGAGCGCTCAAGCGGGTACTGCGAGTCATTTTGAGGTAATTAAAATATGTCAAATTAATATATTGCGTTAAATGATTTACTTATCAGGCAAGTGGCCGCTTGATAAGAGGGAAAATTACGCAGTGTAGTCTTTATCACCATGCAGAGGTTTCTTTTGCAAAATAATCTGCTGACTGTACACGATCCCTCAGCCTTACCACGCCCCCCAGTTTGGGAATCACTGCTTTATTCTTTTAAACGGATACATTAATCGTGTTTATTATATATATTTTTTTATTAAAGTGGAAATCAGTTTACTAAATAATGTAAACTTGACTGAATGCTTCACTTCCATTTTAAAGGGATATTTGTGTTGTTTATTATTTATTTTTATTTATACTATTTATAATTTTTGTGCAATTACTTGCCTGTCAGTTGAGTTTGTGGCAAAACATTTTGCAGTGTTTACATGTTGTTTATTACTGCATAAAATTCATTAAAATAGATGTTTAATTTCATAAAGTACAAGTTGGTTTCAAAATGCACATTTTGCATTTTGTGTTTTTCAGTTGAATAAAAGACTATTTTCCCCTATATATTTCATAATTGAGGATTTCTTTTAAAAAGTCTAAAAACCTCGTCTCATTCTCGTGAACCCATTCTCGTGTCTCGGATAAGTGTCTTGTCACACCCCTATTATTTACATATAAAGGAGGTAATCAGGAATAAAATAAATATTAATTTCAATACGCTTCAACCTTCTGCATTTGTTACTCAGATCAGAATAGTTCCACCTTCAAAAAGAATGTTATCTAAATTATATAAATTATTACTTAGTACAGATACGTTGATGTACCTACCTACTGAAAAATGGGACTCTGATATATCTCATTCCCTGGGTTTTAATGTGTGGACACAAATTTGTAAAAACATGTTCTCTTTGATTAATAATTCTAACTTACAACTTATTCAATATAAGATTTTGCACAGACTGAGTACATATTACACAATACAGAAAACATAAAATGGGTTTTATTAATTCACCCATCTGTGTCCAATGTAATCTCGGTACTGTAGATACTTACCTCCACTCCTTATGGTATTGTAGTCCTGTGCAGAATTTTTGGTTGGGGGTTATAGAGAAATTACATATTGTACTTGGGATTGAATTATCAATGTCTCCTTCATTTTGTTTGTTAGGATTATTTTCGGAGACTGATGTTGCTCCACATTATGCAAAATTAGTCTACATTGCTCTAATTCTAGCTAAATAAACTATTCTCCAACATTGGAAAACTAAGCAGTCATTAAATATTAACCATAGGTTAAATTTATTATTAGAATACATGGTAATGGAAAGGATGGCTGCTGTAGCTAGAAAGAACATCAGATCTTATGTAGAAATGCGGTCACCCTTTATTAGTTTTTTTGGAGTGGAGGAGTGATGAATTCATAATGTTTTCCCTTTTTTCCCTCTCTTGTGTGTGAAAAGAATATTAGAAGAATATGTAGGCAGGATTTTATATGGGCTAATCTACGTAATGTTTGTATAATTAAAGCTGTAGTCCGTAAATTTGGCCTCTTTGTCGCCATCTCTGTTTGAAAACCTGGAATTGCAGCTGTGTGCGGAATTATCTAGCTTGTGTGGGCTGTGAGTGGGCACGGCTCCAGCAAGGATGAATCTAATGTTCTGAAGAGTATGTGTGGCAGTCAGTCACCGCACCGGTGTGGATATTTACTGTACTTCGCAATCACAGATTCTAGCCTACGTCTTGGAATATGACCCAAATAAGAATTTTCACCATATATTCTCATCTGAACAAGTAAGTAACAAGTCTGCCACGTTTGTTCTGACTGAGGAAAAAAGCATTACCATAAATCTCGCTACCAATGGTGATTAAATCTAAAGATTGGTTAGCTCATATCACATCAAACCGTTCAAATTATTATTATTGTTATACTTTATTCTCAAATGATTAATGTTAACAACATCATATGACTATGATCAACATCAACATACTATGAGTATAGTGTGTATTAGCGTGTAGATTTCAATTTCTGCACAGTCTAAACTAATTGTCATACTCTTCGACAACTTCTTTATGTTTACAGAAGTGACGTAATGACGCAGTGCCATGCTCGAATTTCCCGCGAAAACCTACCCGTACCACTCAAATTAGAAAACATTATTATAATGTATAATAAGCTAACCGTTGTGAATCGGGCTAAAGTAAGGCGATAGTTTTGAACACTGGCTGGTTATGTACTTGCTCAAATATTAATTTCGGATCATTTTTAACCAAAAAAAGTTACGGACTGCAGCTTTAAATATGTAAAATGTGAATTGTATTGGGTATCTGGCATCATGTTTTTTGTTTTGCCCCCATGTCGTGTATGTGTATATCACTATATGTTCTTTTTTGTACACTGATGTAAAATGTGTTAAATTAAAAATTTTTTTTTTAAAAATAACAACAATAATAAACAAAGACATTTTGATATTAAACATTTCTTAGGAGTGTGAACAGCCACACCTTATTGTTTACGAAGAAGCAACAGCCTTACCAGATATTTTGACTTCCTTTACACTGCCGTGGTCTTCGTTCTCCAGCTCTATCCGGAGGCAAGGCTTAGAGGACCATGTTGTCATTTTACTTTCTAAGGATGTCTGAAATTGACTGTCCTCTTCAGTCCGGGTTATGGTTTTTATTAGGAAAAAATTGAGTTTTTAATAAAAGAGACAAATAAATAGTATTAAGAATAAACCATACGGCAATATAAAAATATAATCCTTTAGTAGAGTAACGTTAGACATTATAATGTACGTCTTATGTACAACACAGTATTTACCCATAACTCCTCTATTTGTAGATGATGACTGCTTTATCTTCACAGAAGGGATGTCTTTCACACCCATGAGTTTACACAGTTTTGTGAAGTCCTGCTCCAGATTTCCTGAACACTGGTAATCATCTAGTGTGAGCGATACAAAAACACACTGACATTCAGTTGACTTTATGTGCGTTAGGGACTATCACACAGCATTTTAACTCCAACAAACAGCCTATCTTTGGACATGGCATATATTTTGGTTATTTAACGATCACATGAAGCCAGAATCTAGTCTGTCTATCTGTCTTTACAGTCACATACCTGCGGTTTTAGGTGGTTCTTCGTCGGTCACAGAATCCGCCTTGTCCACTTTCTCCTTGGAGGATTTTTCAACTCGTTTTTTCATCGTTTAAGCGGAAAATTACCAACAGTTGGTTAAGCCGAAAACAAAACTAAATAATTAATATAAATGATTAATAATTATAATAAATATATAGTGAAGTAACTTTTTTTCAGCTGGTTGTCAGCTCAGGTTGTTTCGTTGCTATGCCAACAGCTCGAGCTGGCGTCCGTCACCTAGCGGATGGCGCCAAACAGAAAAATGACCATCTTGCCTGTCACTCAAAAACGGTCACCACAACAAAACTAATGTCAAATAACTAATATAAAAAATTGACAAACTTACTTGAATTCATACAGTTATAAACTACTGAGACAGCAGGGTGGTTTAAAAAAAGATTTTCAGCTCCATCTGTTGAATTGTTACCTCTGTCACGCAGAAAATAAAATAAAAATATACATTTTGTATATCATACATATATTAACTGCAGGAACTATTTTTCTGGAGGTGTAATTTGATAAGCTGTAAGATGAATTAGAGTAACGATTTAATAAATATTTTCATAAATACCCACACCTGTTTTTTTTTCCTTCAAATTAATATATTTCTTCTGTCAGTACCGAGCGGCAACCTCCCGCTCTCTCTCGTGAAGCCAACAAGGAAGTGACTTAAACTGTAATTCATCAACTGGCCGCTAGAGGCTGGCTGCAAAAGGGAGTCAATCCCATAGACTCCCCATGTTAAAATGCTCAACTTTACAGCAGAAAAAAACATGTTTACAGCCTGGTTCAAAAAATGATTTTGGTCTATATAGCTAATTTTGCCCTTCATGACAACTGTGAGGGGGGTGAATTTTTTTATAACTCATCCGTTTAAATTATATTTAGCCTTAAAGTTCTGCATAATTAAGGGCGTGGCCACTTGAGTGACAGGTGGATTGCCGCTGCTGTCACCACCGTCGAGCTAGATGGGCGTGGTTTCAGCAGCCAGCTCCCGCCTCTTTGCCCATTTTCGATTATCCGAGAGTGACGCGCGGTGACGCGCTGCCAAGATGGCGATGGCTGGCTCCGCCTACTTTAGGCTTCAAAACGCTCGTCGGAAGTCTACGGGTTACGTTACGGACACTACGTCCATGTTTTTATACAGTCTATGGTCAGTACACAGTAACACGTCTTAAATGTAACACTATAATCTTTATGAAGAATGAGTCAAAAGGTTTGATAAAATTAGGAGACATTGTTGCAAAGGTCTCTGTATTCAGACACTCTTAGGTAATAGAGCTATATTGGTATGTGTTGGACTATTCAATGACTGTGGACTGTTACTGCCCCCTTGAGGAATTACGGAGTATGCTAGAATGTGCTGTAAAGTGCGTCATAAGAATCATCAGTTGTTGGTATAAATCTGTAGAGTGTGCAGTGATTAATTCAACCCGAACCACATTAGTAACTACAGTACATTTGGTCCTTCGAGCCGGATTCAGTAATTGCTGTGGATTGCAGAAGATGTTTCCAGACCAGAGGATCAGAGAAGGACAACTAGCTGATGTGCGTCCTAAACGTCGAATACAGCCTCCAGCCTGGTTGGAGGATTATGAGGTTTCTCTCCCACACTATGACCAACAGTCTCCAGCTGCACATATGTTCCCTCATCCCAGAGATCTACAGGAGCCTCACACTGAAAGGGTAGCCGAGATGACCCCTCTCATTTATCAGCCATTGAGCGACTATGCCACAGGGACAGACCAGAGATTTATAAGCCGCTCATTACACATCGGACCAAGATATGAGAGCACACCTGTATCTCACCCAATCACAACTGAGGATGTATCAGAGATTTTGAGAACAGTTCAGGAGCTCAAACGAGAAAATCAACAGCTTCAGTCTACTGTGCTAGATATGCAGCAGAAAATGAGTGCTAACACAGCATCCTCACTCCACCAAAGATCAGTGCCTTTGCCATATGACAGAGCCCAGTCACAAACAAGTCGAGCCCCCTTACCAGATTATGAAGATTGGCCGCTGCCACCTCCACCTGTAGTGGATGAAGACATCCTTCCTCCTTCAGTAGATATACCACCCCCACCTCCTAGACACATGTCCAATTTGGTGGATGAATTAACTACCAGACTGCGAAACTTAGGGACTAAAGATAAACCTCTCTCATGTCCATCAACCCCTGAGTACTGTGAACCTGACTGCTATTCCATGGCATCAACTCTACAACAGAGGACACGTGACTATCCACAGTCCAGACACCCTCCTCAAACAGCACCTACCAGCCTTAAGCCATTCTACAGTGATACTGGACAGCATCCTTACTACCCTAAGCATAGTCATGATGTCAGTGGGTTTAAGAGGTTTGCATTAAAAGTCAGAGCTCTGGTAGGCATGCTGGACCAACTGGGAGATAGCGGCAGAGTCGAGCTTCAATGTGGCTCACACGTAACAAGGCTGTTGTCCAAGTTGCCTCACGACTTACGAGCTGAGTTCAAAAGGTATGTGTACCCCTTGAATGTTCGCTTCCCCACTCGTTTACACTTTGCAGACTGGCTTGAATACGAGCTGAAAATACAGGAGAGTGGTTTTGAGTTTCTTGGCGAAGACAGAAAGGAACGCCCTGACCAGAAGAGAGACAGGCGCAAAGACTTTAAGTCCACCAAGACAGCAGCTATATTTCACAGCGCAGACCCTGCTCTCAAAACCACATCATTAGGAGAGTCCAATTCAGGTGTGGCTAAACCTCAGGACAAACCAATAATGTTCTGCCCCTACTGCACAAATACCCAGCATTATCTGAATCAGTGCCAGAATTTCAGCCAGCTCACCAAAGAACAGAAAACTAACTGGGTGAAAACCAATAAGAGATGCTGGCGTTGTGGCCGAGCTCATCAGGCAGCACAGTGCCGTTTAAAGATAAGCTGTAAGGTATGTAAGGGCAAACATCTCGAGGCACTTCATGAATTAAATGAAAGACCAGTCAATGAGAACACCTCTCTTGTCAGCAATGCCAATGAGGTCCTATACTTAGACAGACCCTTCGGCTGCAGTCAAGTTCTATTAAAGATCACAAAGGTAATTCTTCGAAATGGGGAACATGCCCTTGAGACATTTGCCATTTTGGATGATGGTTCAGAACGCACCATCCTTTTACAAGCAGCTGCCCAGGAACTGAAGCTACATGGTAAAACAGAAAACCTTGCTCTGAGAACTGTTAGGCAGGATGTGAAGATCATAAATGGTACTTCAGTCTCCTTCACCATCTCTCCAGCCTGTCAGCCTCATAAAGTGTTTAAGATACACAGGGCATTTACTGCAGACCATTTGGGGCTCGCCGAACACACATGCCCAGCTGCCACCTTACAGCATAAATATAGTCACCTCAGAGGACTGCCAATCGCTTCCTTTGACAGTGTTCAGCCCCTCCTTCTAATCGGCTCTGACTATCCCCACTTAGTTACCCTGATTGAGCCTGTATGCCTGGGACCTCCTGGTGGACCAGCAGCAGTGAAGACACGACTAGGATGGACAGTCCAAGGGCCTGCTAAGCTTGTGCAACATCAACTTTTGACCCAGCAGTGTCTCAACATATCGATCCTTTCCCCTTCCAATGAGCTGTTCAGACACATCGAGAAACTCTGGCAACTTGATGTACTGCCCTACAGGAGTGAGAAATTTGCCACCAGATCCAAACAAGATCAAGAGGCTATCGACCTGTTAGAGGCAAAAACAACTCGAATCGACGTCAATGGGAAACAACGCTATGCCACGCCTCTCTTAAGAGTTAAGGACATGCCTAAATTGCACGCTACAAAGCAAGCAGTGATGCAGAATCTGCGCAGCACTGAGACTCGTCTGGCTAAAGATCCTATAAAGTCAGAGGCCTACCGAGCTGAAATTCAGAGACTGAAACAGGCAGGTTATGTGGTTGAAGTACCAGAGCAGAAACTAACGGAGAAAGATCAAGAATCATGGTTCATTCCCCACCATATGGTGAGCCATAATGGGAAAAACAGAGTTGTTTTTAATTGCTCTTTCTTATACAGAGGTAAGAACCTGAACAAACTGCTTCTGCCTGGACCAGCTCTGGGGTCCTCCTTACTTGGTGTGTTGCTACGATTCCGGGAGCACGCTGTAGCTCTTAGTAGCGATATAAAGGGCATGTTCCATCAAGTAAGACTACTGCCCGAGGATAAGCCCCTCCTCCAATTTTTATGGCGTGATCTGAATAGAGAGGAACCCCCTCGCATCTACGAGTGGCAAGTGCTCCCATTTGGGACTACCTGCAGTCTGTGTTGTGCGACATACGCACTACAGAAGCACGTAATTGATCACAGTCAGCCAGAAGACAATGTCTGCCACTCCCTTGAAAGGTGTTTCTATGTAGATAACTGTCTACAGAGTGTTGCAAATCCTGGTGAGGCTAAAGTGTTGGTGAACACACTGAGGAACCTGTTGGCAGAAGGAGGATTTGAACTGATGCCCATTTGAATACAACAATGGGCATGCAACTTTCCTAATGTCATCGATCATCTGCCAAAGGAAGCCAGATCAGAAAGCAGTGAGCTTTGGCTTAACCAAACCGAATCAGACCCTCAAGAACTTGCATTAGGATTACGTTGGATCTGTCAGTCTGATACTCTTGGATACAAAAACCGCCTCGACAACTGTCCAACTCCCACAGTGAGAAATATATACAAAGTAGTAGCGAGCCAGTACGACCCATTCGGGTTCCTTGTTCCCTTATCACTCGGGCCAAGATCCTTATACAGAGTCTCTGGGCTAAGCAACGAGAGTGGGACGACCCACTACTGCCAACTGACATTCTTCAAACCTGGCATGATTGGCAAAGGGAAATTCCCAAATCACACTGCCACGCTGCTATGTGAGCTCCCAGTTGGATTCCCTTAACTGTAGTCGGCAAGTACATATTTTCAGTGATGCCTCCGAAAGGGCATATGGATCTGTAGCATACTTGCGCACAGAGGATCCAAAGGGAAGTGTTGAAGTAGCCTTCCTCACAGCCAGGTCAAGAGTAGCCCCTAAGCACCAGTTATCTGTGCCTCG